ATGAAAGTAATTGAATTCTTGAGTTAAAGTTTATTAAAATTTACTTGAAATAATTGAATTTATTTGAGAAATTTTATGAAAACATTTGATATTGAAAACAATTAAATTTTAGCTAAGTATTTCATTTATTGAATTTTTGCAAAAAATTTTGTTCGAGACTTAAATTATTTCAAATAAATTATTGTCAGAAAATAAATATAGAAAAATTTAAGGTTTTGTTCAATTTATTCATTTTATCGAAATAAATCCTATTTTTTGAAATAAATCTTACTTTATTGGAATAAAAAAAGTAAAATAAAACAAATTTAAATTCGCATAAAACAAATAAAGTTAATTTTGCATAAAAAACGTAAAATAAATTCGTTCAAAACAAAATAATTTCGCACAAATAAAAATTGAAGAATTTAAAAAATGTTCTACTTTATAAAATTCTCCCTTATTAAAAAAAGAATTTGAGTATAAATTCCAGAAAATAATTTTTATGGAATATTCATACCATCATCTATTAAGAGATCAAAATAAGAATATTAGCAAAACGAAAAAAAAAATTTCTCCTAAATCCAGTGCTTTAAAAAAAAAATGCCCCCGAAAATTGAGACAGTTTCTTATAAATTACACCTTCACGTATAAAATTAAGGATTAGTGTCCATATTTTTCTTAATTTTCGTTACTAAATTATCGAAGATTATGGGCAAAAAAAAAGTCTTATAGCTCTCTTTACAATGTTTATAAGCAAAAATATAAAGCACTTAACGATCTCAGCGGAATGGATTTCTTTAAAAAAAATTAATATGCTAGGGAAAAATAATGTTTCCTTCAAACTGGACATGGGTGCATATTGATCACCTGCTTTAACCCATCGTCATGGACGAAAATTACTTTTACATTCTCATCACTTACATTCGAGCGAAGCGTAAAAATGTATGAGCTCCTCGAGTTGTGTAAAAAATTTCCAAGATCTAAATGAAAAAAAAAGAAAAAAAAACCGCCTCGACACGTGCGAACCAAGGTCAAGTTAAATTTGTAAAACTCTGAGTATATTCTATTTTTCACGTCTTAAATATAATTGTCACCGACTTCTTCTTTCTTTTTTTTTTTGTTCTTTAAATATAAATGAACATAATTTTCCGCAGAAATCATTGAACTTTGTCTGAAATTATTCAATCTCTATATTTATTATTCTCTCTTTCAAGAAAAAATTTTATCAAAGAGCGGCAATTTTATTATTCCTATTATATCGATATTTTTCTTTACGATCTTGAATAACAGGTGTCTGTTTTGAATTGTTCCGAAAAAAAAATGAAAAATCAACCAATAATGCTCGTTATTTAGATAGAAATTGAATTTTTTTTTCCCCTCCTCAATTCGTTAAAAAAATTTGGTGCATCATTTTAAATTCGTTGCGCCTATATATCGTTCAACATTTTTTTTTTATAAGATTCTTATCCAGTTTATAAGCACGTGTATCATAAACGATTACGGACTGAGCAATTTTCGGTAATCATCATTTCTAACAATATATATCGATTGATAAGCATCGCAATATTCTAAACTATCAGCGAACATTGATCAATATGTTCATTTATTTCTGAATTTTCATAATCTTTCAATATCTCTCTCTCTCTCTCTCTCTCTCTCTCGTCAAGAAAAAAAATCCAGGTGTTTTGTTATAAAATACATAATTAAATTAAATTCATTATGAAAGAAAAAAAAAAAAAGATTCACTTATCTTATCAAAAAGAAATATTAATTTTAAATCACTAAAGAATAAAATTTCTTTTACCCAGAAACAAATTTAACTAAACTAATCGAAAAATTATTTTCGTTCATTGTGGATTCTTAAAATTTAACGGACATAAATTTAGAAAAAAAATTATCCAAAGAAAAAATGTCTTTTCCCAAAAAAATTATCTATTAATAAAAAATCATTTTCCCTCATTGTGAAGTTTTAAAAATTTCCGGGCATTTTACAAAAAAAAAAAATTTTTACTAAAAAAAATCAACTAATCAAAAATAATTATCGATCGTTGTGAAAATTAAAAACCATAAATTTAGAAAAAAAATCCTTTCTATAAAGAAAAAATTTCCTTAAAGAAAATATTTTCTTTTTTAAAAATTTTGTTAAATTGTAAAAAAAATTTAATTTGAAAAAGAAAAAAGGGACAAAATTCAAAGCACGTGTCCGGATAATATGAATCATTTGCAAAATGTATTCAAATGTTTTCGGAAATTAGAAAATTAAACAGTTGGTTAAAGTTTTCAAAATTTTAGAGTCAATTTGAAGATTGCCATTGAGGGGGGAGGGGGTGATTTTGCATATTCATTAAATCATTAATCGTTTGGTCAACTCTTGTGTAATTGAAGGAAATGTGCTGTCTGCTTTATCATGCTTAACTGTGTCGAATAATTAATTATTCAAATATGTAAGAACAATGGAAGATTAAAATTAACCACTCGCAAACCAAATTTATCTAAAGCAATACCAATATCCGTTTTCTATTTTTACAGAACCTATTTTCATTTTTTAATCTACTTGCCTATAATAAAAAAAAACTCATAGACACTATCATTAATAATTTTAGCAAAATTTTATTTTTAAACAATTAAATTCTTTAGAGAAATTTTATTAACATTACATTGAAAATAATTGAATTCCTGATGCAATGAATTTTACTATTTAATTATAAAAAATATTCAAATTCATTTCGAAAAATTTTATTAGAGTTTTTAAAAATAATTAAATTTAAATTCTTTTCGAAAATTACTATAATTTTTTTGAAAATAATTTAGTTTTTTTCAATAATATTAAGAATTTTGAAAATAATTGTTTTTAAGAAAAATTTTATTCAAGATTTTAAAATAATTGTGTTTGTCAATAATTCTCATTAAAAATTTGATTATTAAAAAATGTAAAAATAATTTTTTCAAAATAATTGAAATATTGACATCATTTTCCTAAAATTTCTAAAAATATTTAATTCTCTGAAGAAATTGTACTAAAAATTGAACTAAAAATAATTGAATAATTTATGCGTAGAATTTTATTCAAGTTTTAATTTTTATTAAATAATTGAATTCTTTAGAAAAATTTTTAAAAAACTTTTAAATTAATAATATTGAATTTTCTGAAAATTGCATTATTTTTAAAAATATTTGAATTCTTTTCAACAATTTTCTTAGAGTTTTCAAAAATTGAAATTCTTTGAAGAATTTCTTAAAATTTTTTGAAAATATTGTAGTTTTTTTTAACAACGTTAGTTAAAAATTTTGAAAATCATTGATTTTTAGGAAAAATTTCTTTAAAAATTTTAAACTAATCGTGTTTGTTAATAATTGTAATTAAAAATTTGATTATTAAATTATATCAAATTTTTTTGTAAATAATTGAATTCTTCTCAGCATTTTATTAAATTTTTTGAAAATAATTGAATTTTTTGGCGAAAATAAAAATTGTACTACAAATAATTGAATTCTTGCGTAGAATTTTTCTAAACAATTGAATTTTTTCGAAAAAATTGAAATCCATTAAAATTATTAATTGAATTCTTTCTACAAATAATAATTGAATTATTGCGAAAAAATTTATTAATTACAAAAATATTCAAAATCTTTTCAAGAATTATTAGAGTTTTTAAAAATATTTAAATTCATTTCAAGAATTTCTCTCATTTTTTAAAAATAATATAGTTTTTTAAATAATTTTAATTAAAAATTTAGAAAATAAATTATTTTTACAAAGAATTTATTTCTTTAAAGATGTTAAAATATTCGCGTTTGATAATAATTGTAATTAAAAATGTGATTATAAAATTTAAAAAATTTTTTTTGAAAATATATGAATTTTTTGGAGAAACTGTATAAAAATTGTACAAAAATAATTGAATTGAATTCTTTAGACGCATTTTTTGAAAATTGTGCTTCAAATAATTGAATTGCTGTGAAGAATTTTTTATATGGAAAAAAACAATTGAATTGCGGAGAATTTTATTAAAATATTTATAAATAATTGAATTCTTTGGAAAAATTTTAGCAAAACTTTTGAATTAATAATTGAATTCTTTCGACAAATTTTATTAAAATTGTATTATAAATAATTGAATTGCTGTGAAGAATTTTTTATATGGAAAAAAATAATTGAATTCTTGCGCCAAGAATTTTATTAAAATTTTATAGAAAAGAATTGAATTTCTAAGAAAAAGTTTATTATTTATAAAAAATAATTTAATTCCTGCAAAGAATTTTGTGATATAGAAAAAAATAATTGAATTCTTTGGAATTATTTTATTAAAATCGAATAGAAAACAATTAAATTCTTATAAAGAATTTTACTAAAATTGTACAGAAAGAAAATTGGATTCTTGCAAAGAAGTTCATTATTTATAAAAAAAATAATTGAATTCCTGCGAAGAAGTTTATTATTTTTATAAAAATAATTGAAATCTTACGAAGAATTTTATTATTTATATAAAAATAATTGAATTTTTGAGAATAATTTTATTAAAATTTAAAAAAATAACAAATAATAATTAATTAACAAATGAGTGAACGTTTTAAAATTTTTAATCTGAAATTATTCAAAGATTAAAGTTGATATTTGAAAACAAAAAAATTTTTTAATTTGCCAAATTTATTATAGAATATGTAAAAGAAAAAAATACATAAATAAAAATATTTACAATATTTCATATTATCCCCAAGTATTTATATTGTTACAAAAAATTTATATAATTATTTAATCTTCCATTGTGTTCCGTACAATATTTAAATTCCACTTTTGAATAAGTAATTGTTTCCATAATTGTATATACGCAATAAAATTGTTTTGCAAAATATTAAAATTGTTAATAAATTTTAATATTTATAATTAAATTTTATTTAATATTTTTGTATGAATCAAGGAAAATGGTAAATTTACATTCTAAATGTAAAAATTGAATGTAATAATAAAATAAATTGTAAAAATAAAAAAATTTATTCTCTATAGTGGAAATTTCACTGACCTTATCACCTTTCGTCGATTATTTGGGTGAAGACATTGTGCCATTTGTGGGTCGACTTGTGCCAATTTTTTATGCAGCTCTTCATTCGTCTCAGAAGTATCCAGCCTCGGTTTTTTTGACTGCTGATCACTATCACTTGAATCTTCCGGTTCATCTATAAGAATTTGCCACAAAAGTGCTTCGATATAGTAGTTGGTACCACCTACAACGATTGGCAACTTTTTTCTGCTTTTCAAATTGTCAATCTAAATTGGTTAAGAAATGCAATACAATTTAAATAAAAAAATAAATTAAATTAAAAATAAAAAATAATAAAAATAAAAATGTTCGTTAATTATTTTCTACTCAACTATATTTTCAACATTTTTCCCAAATTGCAAATTTAACAATTTTAAGTACAAATTTACCATTTTGTATAGAACATAAAAATAAAAAATTTTGTTTCTTCATGTTTGAAAGATTCAATTTTTTCGGCAAAAAAAAAAAATTAAAATTTGAAAAACGAATTTACTGTAATATGTTATTAATTTTAAAAGAAAGTCATACTATTGCTTTTAATTAGCACAGGTATATTCAACTACGATGTAAAGAATCTTTATAGTTGACATCAGCAGTTTCGTTAAAGTAGTGAATTTAAGACCTCGATCGTATTTCATTACACCAAAGATAATAATCATTCGTTGAAGTGATATTCAACACTTAAATATAAATGCGACGTACGTAAAGTACTTTCTAACGAGTCATTTTTATAGTCTGAGACATTTAACATTTAGTAAACATTAAATAAATAAATATATTTAACAAAAAAATTTCATTTCATTTATATATATATATATACTAATTTAGCATGAAAATTTTTTATTTAAATAACATTCATCTAAACACGTTTAAAGTTTCCCAGAATTTATATTCTATATAATAAATATATTTTACAAAAAAAAATGAAACTTAAAGATCTTGATAATAACTTTTCCTTCAAAAATATTTTATAAGTACGAAAAATTCAGAATTTTGTAAATCTATTAATTCTGTATAAAATTTATTCATCATAATAAAAAAAATACCTTTTTTAGAATTCATTTCAGAATTGAATTTTCGATTATTTTTCTTCATCTATAATTAATATTTCCAGGACGTAAAAGATTGATTAAAAATTGAATAAATTTAATTAAAAATTAATTGCAAAATTAAGACCTCGGATTGACTTTAAAGTGCAAAAAAAATCGCTTTAGTCGATTAAAAATGCAAAAACATTCTAAAAAATCCTTTACTTAATTCAGTTTTGTCGCAAAAATTTTATTTTGTATTTCCCTGATTTTCCCCTTTCACTGATTTCTAAATTCAATTATTCAAAACTTGACTAATTTTTGGTAAATAAATATTAAAATATTTTTTATTTACAAGAGTAAATAAAAAGTAAACGTGGAATAATCTTTCCAAAATTCAATTATTTTCTATCAAATTTTATAAAAATATTTTAACTATTAAACTTCATCTCTAAATCAATATTATTATTAATAATTTTCTAAAAGTTCTTCGTGAATTCAATTATTTAAATAAATTTGGTAAAATCTTTTAAATTCAATTGAAATTTGTTAAAAAATAATTAAATTTTTAAAAAATATGAAAAAAATCAAATTTTTCGAAGAATTTTAATTTAAAATTTTTAACATGATTGTTTTCTCCAAAATGTATTAAAAATAATTCTAAAATATTTTAATGCTGTTACTTTTTAGTTTTTTTTTTTTAATTTTTGAAAATATATAATTGAAAATACTGAAAATAATTGAATTTTAAAAAATTTTAATGAAAATATTCTAAGAATAATTTTTTTCAAAAATATTTTTATATAATTTTTTAGAAGCTAATTTTCATTAATTTTCATTTTTCAATTTACACTTGAAGATTTTTTTATTAAAATTTTTAAGAATTCAATTATTTTCAAAATTTGCATTTAAAATTCTTCGAAAAGTTGATTTTCAAAAATTCTAATGAAATACTTAATTGAAAAATCAATGACTTTCAAAAAAAAAATTTAACAAAATTTCAATTATTCAAAAACTTTTTAATTGTTGATATTTAAAAAAAAACGTTAATTATATTAAAAAAATGATTCAAAAATAATTTTTGAAAGATTTGTCTATAATTATTTTTTAGACTATAAAAACCGAATTTGCATTTTATATTAAAAGTATAGGTAGTATTTTATTTGCAATATTCAGAAGAAAAATAGAAAAAGTCCATTTTTTTAAAAATGTTGAATTTTTATATAATTTAGAAAAAATAATTAATTTTTTAAAGAATTTTAATTAAAACTTGTAAACATAATTGTTTTCTCCAAAATATTAAAAATAATTTTATTATTTATCTGAATTTTCGAAAATATATAATTGAAAAAATGGAAAATAATTGAATTTTAAAAAATTCTAAGAATTTTGTTTCATAAATATATTTTAATAATTTTTAAGAAACTGATTTTCATTAATATTCATTTTCCAATTTACACCTGAAGATTTTTCAATTAAAATTTTTGAGAATTGAATTATTTTCAAAATTTGTAATTAAAATCCTCCAAAAGTTTGATTTTAAAAAATTGTAATAAAAATTCATGAAAAAAATTCCTTCTAAGAATTTTATTATATGCAAAAAAAAAGATAATTGAATTCTTTAGAAGAGAAAATAATAATTAATTAGCTAATAAGTGAATGTTTTAAAATTTTTAATCTGCAATTATTAAAAGATTGAAGTTTTTAATGCTTATGTTTAATATGCTATTATTTTTTTATTTATCTGAATTTTCGAAAATATGTATTTAAAAAAATAGAAAATAATTGAATCTTAAAAAATTAGAATTGAAAAAAATTCCAAAAGAATTCTGTTTTTTAAAAATATTTTAATAATTTTTTAGAAGCTAATTATCATTAATTTTCGTTTTTTAATTTACAGTTGAAAGATTTTCAATTAAAATTTTTGAAAATTCAATTATTTTCATAACTCGCAATTAAAATCCTCCAAAAGTATTATTTTTTAAAAAATTGCAATAAAAATACATGAAAAAAAGAATTAAGTGTTTTCAATTAAATTTTACAAAATTACAATTATTCAAAATCTTTTTCAAAATCTTTTTTATTGTATACATTTCGAAAATTTATTTAGAAAAATGATTAAAAACTAATTATTAATTTTTGAAAACTTTGTCTATATAATTTGAATTAGTAGAATTCTATTAAGAATTTAGTAAAATTTTACTAATTTTTTTAGTAGAATTTCACTAATTGCCAGTAATCTATTGTACTAAATGAATTAGCGAAACTATTTTATCGACTATTAATTAAATAGTTGTATAAAAGTTTATTTTACAGTTTCTATTATAGTTTTATAGTTTATTTTTATATTTTCTACAAAATTTCACTAATTGTTAATAAAATTATTACTAAATCACTTGCGGTGGACTTTTCGTCATTAATAACTTTCTATACTAATTCAGCTTTAGAGAGAAAACAAAGTTGCATTTAAATAGTCGATCCGAGGTCTGTAATTGAATTAATTTAATAAAAAATTAATTCCTGTTATCATATTTTAAAAAAAAAAGAACTGAAAAAAATATTAAAGCTGCAGGGGCATTGAGGGAAAAATAAGGCACATTCAAGAGAGAATGTGCCATTTTATGGTATTTAGATTACGATTTCAACGGTTCGAAAATGAGTAGCGAGAATTTCAAGAATGTCTCGGCATCAAAATTAAAACTATGTAGTGACAAAAATGAATAAAATGAAAACGGGTTTGGCTTATGTGGCCTATGTAACGCCAAGGACTTATGAAAACACGTTCACACACACAAACACAAACACACACACTCGATTTTAAACAGTGAAAGGATACGATAGACAGAGCTCGATTCCTAAACTCAACAACTGTATAATTGACCAATGGATCCACAATGTCTATCATGTGATGTGGTGCTTGTAATCTCTCTTCTCTGCTGACTTTTGCCGTAATGATGTCCAATCCTTTGTAAACCTGAGGGCATAAAATTTATGTTTATATCAAAAATGAAAAACCCATAATTCGTACACATTTTCTCTCTCTCCTTCTCCCACACACAAACACAAACTAAACACTATATATCTTTCTCTCATGTCTCTCTCAATATAGAAGTCTAGAATCGCGATTTTCTCGTCTGTTCTCCTCGCGTGTGCAGACATCGTCAGCCATGCGTGCGAATTCTATCTCTGCGACCAGGATTATAAATCGTTTATACACTCACACACTTAATTATCAATAGACTTTCATACTATAAACTCAAGTCGTTAATTTCTCATTACATTGTACTTTTATAGTTCCAATAATTCAAAATTCATGTAGTTTTTGAAATTTAACAGTGTAAAGTTACAAATAAGCATGCGAGGATATATTACTGTTTCTAAATTGAGTTCAAGTTATAAGTCTATAAAGAAAAAAAAAGAAGAAAAAAAGGAGAAACAGAAAACATTTTATCATTTCTTCGCATCTTGAATATTATATCCTTGTGTGTAGAATTGCAGCGAGAATTATTATATTATAAAGAGCGAGCGCGCGCGGGTATTCGAGTTAAATTATACGGACATTAATTTTAATTCTTTATTATCAGTTTTTAGTTTCTATTTATCAATGCTACTTTATATTATTTAATTTCACAATATTATTTCTACTTGCTTCCTCATGGAGGAATAATTGTATTTTCTTTCTGTTGCTTCACACTGCAAAAAAGAAAGGTATACTAATTTAGTACGAATTTTGGTACTAAATCGTAATTTTCTTCTATTTTAATACCAAAATCAACTCTAATTTAGAACCTTTTTCTTACAATGTAGTAAAAAAAAAATAGAAAAAAAAATTGTAAAAATAAAAAATACTAAAAAAAATTGTAAAAATAAAAAATACTAAAAAAAATTGTAAAAATAAAAAATACTAAAAAATAGTAAACAATAATAAACAAATACTTAGAAAAACAATAAACATCTTTCACCAAATACTAAAAAGTTAAAAAAAAACTAGTCACAACAGGGCCACAAAAATTAAATTTTTTTGTTCCCTGATTTTCCAGACAAAATTTTTACCTTTTTGGAATTCAAAAACTTATGAATATTATTACAAAACATGAAGATATCGATTGCTCCGAGTCGAAGACTCGGAGTGATCGATTTCTTCATGTTTTGTGATAATTAAAAATGACCGAGGAGATAAAATAATTATTTTATATCATAAGAATTTTGTTTCTTTAACTTCTTCAAAATTATTCTCATCATTTCAATTCAATTATTATTTTCTAGAATTTCCAACTAAAATTCTACTTTAAATCAATTATTTTTTATAATTTTTTGAAGTACTTTGAGAATTTTAAAATCCATTGGCTTATCAATATTCAATTTAACCCAAAAATTTTGATTATTCGATAATTCTTGAATTAAATAAATATTAGAAAATAGAAACTTCAAATAATTTTACAAAAAAAAAAATCAGTTAAATTGTTTCAAAAAAATTAATTCTACCTACAAAATTGTTAGTTAAAAGTATGAAAAATTCAAATTTTCAAAGATTTTAATTTGAAACCTTTTCAAAATTCAAAAATTTCTAAAAAAAAATTAATGCTTTTAATATTTAATTATTAGCCAAAATTCACTTTTAAATCAATTTTAAATAGAAAATTCTAAGAGAGTTCAATAAGTTAAATACAAAAGTAAATAATTTATTGAATAATTGAATGTTTCTTAAATTTGAATTCTCATAAAGAATTTTAGCAACAAATTTTTAAATAATATTTCATTCTTTCGACGAATTTCAATAAAAATTTTTAGACTAATTACATTTATCGATGAATTCGATTAAAATTATTGTATTAAAAATAATTGAAATTCTGCGATGAGTTTTATTATTTAAGAAAAAAATTAAATTTTTGCAACAAACTGTATTAAAATATTTAAAAATAATTTCATTTTTTGAAAAAAAAATTGAATTCATAAGAGGAATTTCATTAAAATGTTAACAAATAATTTAATTCTTTTAAGAAATTTAATTAAAAATGTAAAGAAAATAATGATGCAATTCTAATAAATTAATTTTATCAAAACATTTTAAATAATTGAATTATTTCCAAGAATTATCTTTTAGAATAATTGTATTTTATGAGAAATTCATTTAAATTTGTATTAAAAATAATTTAAATCCTGCTACAGTGAATTGAGAAAATCTTTTGAAAATAATTGAAATTTTGACAAGAATTTTATTAAAATTTTTGAAAACAATTCAATTTCGGAGAAGAATTTTATTATTTATAAAAATAATTGAAATTTTGACAAAAATTTTTGAATATAATTGAATTTTAGAGAAGAATTTTATTACTTATTGAAAAGAATTATTGAATTTCTACAATCATTTGTAATTTCTCAAAAATTCATTTTTTTTTTAGTGTTTTTAACTAAAATTCTTTTACAAATCTATTATTTTTAATAATTTATTAAAATATATATATTAAAAAATTTCAGAAGAATTTGAATTGTTAAAATTTTTTAAATTTCCAATAAAATTCATGCAAAATTGAAATTTTATAAATGTCTAAATTAAAACCTTTTTGAAGTTCATCTATTTATAAAAATTGTAAACGCAACTTTTATAAAATTCAATTATTTTTGAAATTTTTAAGTAAAATTATTCGTTAAGTAATTTATAAAAATTTTATTATAATTCTTAAAGGAATTCATTTGAAAATGTTTTAAAAATAATTGAAATCATGCAAAGAATTTTATCATTTTTGCAAATAATTGAATTCTTGTAACGAAGTTTATAATTAAATGTTTGGAAATTATTAAATTCCTGGAAAATATTTTATTATTTATAAAAGTAATTGAATTCTTGCGGAGAATTTAATTAAAATTTTTGGAAATAATTGAATTCTTATAAAGAATTTAGTTTTGAATAATAATTGAATTCTTTTAAAGAATTTACAATTTACAATTTTAACAAATAATTAAATTGTGCAGAGAAATTTTATTAAATTTTTTGATAATAATTGAATTCCTGGGAAAAATTTTATTATTTACGCAAGTAATTGAATTCTCGCCAAAAATTCCATTAACATTTTTTGGAAATAATTCAATTTCATTAAAGAATTTTAATACATTTTTAAAAATAATTGAGTTTCTGTGAAAAATTTTATTATCTATAAAAGAAATTGAATTTTTGCGAAGAATTTTATTAAAATTTTTTTTTAAATAATTGAATTCATTTGAGAAATTTTATGAAAATAGTAGTTATTGAAAGTAATTGAATTTCAGCCAAGAATTTAATTATTTGTGGAAATAATTGAATTTTTGAAAAAAATTCCTTCAAGAATTAAATTATTTCACATAAATTATTGTCAGAGTTAGAAAAAATTGAAGGTTTTCTATTAAAATTCGTGATAATTTGATAACAAAAAGGACCCAAAAATTCAATATTTTCTTATGAATTCTGAAAATTTAATTTTTTCCAGTACTTTTTATAAAAATTTCTTAATTTTTTCTGAAATCCCTGACATTTCTAATCTGTGGCAACCCTGATAAAAACCCCATTAACTTTTGTAAAATAATTTTTCCATATCTTTTGTTAAAAACCGCCGTTTCGGAAAGAAATAGCAAAAAGGAATTTACCTTTCAGCCAAAAAAAAAAAAATTTATATATATCAACCGGAGGAAAGTTTCAAAACCCTCTTTCAAATATGAACTGTATCGCAAAACCGGTGTAAACCTGTTTCAACATTCGGAATTCCCTCTTTTCTTTTTTTGCTCTCGTTATCACTTCGTTAGCACTGATGGGCTTTTCGGGCAGATCGTTTGTACCCACATCTTCTAAATTTTACTTTTTTGCAACAACAACAAAAAAAAACTGTCAATTTGAATTGTTGCCCCTTTTTCCTTGAATCATAAATTATTGACGAAATTTGTTGCAACTAATTTTATCGCAACTTCAATATGTTCGGTGACATTTCTCCTCGGCACGAAGTTTATAAAAAAAAAAAAAAAAAAAAAAAACCAGACAAGTTGTACCAGAAAAAATATGCAGCATACAATTTTATAACAGAAAAACGTTAAATACTTAACATTTCTAAATTTTTATTCTAACAGGATTGCCACGCTTTTTCTCTTTTCAAATTTCCTGACTTTTCCAGGTTTTCCAGGCTAAAAAACGGAATTTTCCAGGGTTTTAAAACGAAAATTATTCGAAATTATCAATAACTTCATTTTTAAATAGATATTTAATCATTATTTTTTTTATAGAAATTAAGATATTCATAAATTTGAAATTCAATTATTTAACTATAAAAATAAATTAAGGCAAATTAAACGAAAACATTCGGACAATGAATAAAATATTTATTTACTCCAACGTTTCGAAATAAACTAATTATAAAAATAAATATTTTATTAAACAATTAAATGTTTCTTAACATTAAATTTTCATAAAGAATTTTATCAACAAATTATTAAATAATTGAATTCTCTTGACAAATTTTAATAAAATTTTTAAGAATAATTGCATTTTTCGGGAAATTTGATGAAAATTGTACAAAAAATAATTGAAATTCTGACAAGAATTTTATTAAAAGTTGTGAAATTAATTGAATTTCGGAGAAAAATTTTATTATTTATAAAGTTAATTGAAATTTTGAGGAGAATTTAAAAAAGCTTTTAAAAATAATTGAATTTCTGCGAAGAATTTTATTAAAATTATTTTGAAAAAAATTGAATTTTTACGCAAAGAATTTCATTAAAATTTTTGAAAATAATTTTATTCTTTAAAGAAATTAAATTAAAAAATCATTGAAAATAATACTTAAATTCTAATAAATAAATTGTAGCAAAGGTTATTAAAATAATTAAATTTCTTTGATAAATTTTAATAAAATTTTTAAGAATAATAACTTTTTTCGAGAAATTCCATTAAAATTACATTAAAAATAATTAAAATTCAGCACTGAGTTTTATTATTTATGAAAATAATTG